CAGTAATGTGGATGGACAGCAGGTTACTGTCATTGATACTCCAGGTCTGTTTGACACCAGATTTGGAGAAGATAAAACAACCAAAGATCTGAGTCAATGCATCTGTTACGCTGCTCCTGGACCCCACATCTTCCTGGTGGTCGTTGCAATCGGCAGATTCACAGAAGAAGAAAAACAATCAGTGCAAAAGATTCAAGAAATCTTTGGAGAGGCAGCAAACAGATACAGCATGGTTCTGTTTACCCGTGGAGACGACCTTGAAGACACCACCATTGAAGATTATTTGTCTAAAAGCCCAGAGCTGCAGGATCTGGTGTCCAGATGTAACAACCAGTATCATGTCTTCAACAACAAGCTGAAAGATAAGAAACCTCAGGTCACTGAGCTGCTGGAGAAGATCAGAACCATTGTTGACAGGAATGGAGGAAGTCACTACACCAATGAGATGTTCCAAGAGGCTGAGAGGAAAATCGAAGAAAAGAAACAACGAATCCTGAAGGAGAAAGAAGAAGAAATACGTAAAGCGAAAGAAGAACTGCAAAGGAAAATAGAAGAACAATATGAGAAAAAGATGCAAGAAATGCAGAAAGAATTAAAGGGTCAACTAGAGGAGATCGAAATCATGAAAAAGAAACTAATGGAAGAGCAGGAGAGACAAATTCAAAAGGAAAAATCTAACCTGCAGACCATATATGACAAAGAAGCCAGACATAAAGCTGTAGGCTTTAATCCTCTCTATCATGTGGTAAAAGCTGTGGAGCACGTTGTCCAGGCATGTGAAATTATGTGAGGTTAGCTGTTGTCACGTAGGAGCTGCTACAGAGAATAAAGCAGAACTAATAAGCATTTTTTCTCTCTTTTTTTATTGTCTTGATTTTTAAGGTAAAGCTCCAGGTAGTGATGTAATTCAGCTGCGACCTCTGCATCTCACACTATTTTAAATATATTTCTCCTGATGTTTAGATGCTTAATGTAAGATGCTAAAATTGTTTGCATGTGAATTTTAGCCATTACTTTTGTCAATAAACACGGTTTCATTAGAGGAAAATACTCCAAATGTCTTCATTATTTATTTAATATTATCTGTTGAATCATATTTTCAGTTTAACCAGGTAGACCAACCTTCCCCTTTTTATAGTGATCTAACCTTTAAGACAATGATGTCAACAAAGTTGTTATTCTTCCATTAAATTTTACTAGACAGCTTATTTATATCACAGAAATTCACCACAAATGCCGCCTAAAAATTTCATTTTTAAATAAGCAAGTCCTACTTTGCGCCAGTAATATTAGTTTAATTTAAATAGGTTCATTCTAATACAATGCAATTATTATAGAATCAGGTTCAAATTCTATCTACACAAAAAGTGGGTAAAAAGCCCTCCACAATGACTAATAGCGTCAAATAGAAAATTACCATTTCAAGGTTTTGCTGCTTATATGTTGTATGTTTATAATTATTTTATTGGTTTATATAATTCTAAACAAATTTTAATCATTAATTATAATTGGTTTATTGAGTTATTCAATTAAATGTCTTAAAAATTTGTTGGATTCTTGTCGACAGAGGAAATATGTATAAATATTTAGCTGACTTGTAGTAATTAAGTCTGAACCTCCTAGTATTTCCTGATTTCTTTTAGAAGTATGTTATCTATTAAATACATTTGACAAATATTCCAGAAGTGAAATCACCTCTGCAGGTCTGAGGTGAAGTCAAATAACCATGCATTTCCAGTTTCCTGCATGGTTATGTGTTTGCCACGTGTCAGCAGGGACTCTGAAGTTTTACACAACGTCCAGACGTCTTTCCACGCTTCCCTCAGGCTGCTGCAGGGCGTGTTCAAAGGCTGGGAGGAGAAAGGTCCAAAACAAACCAACAACTGTCACAGTTTTACACTATTCTGTTAACTTGTGATTCATTCTGGTATTTAAAAAATGGTCAGCTTTCTGAACTTTGCTACCAGCAACCTGCAACAAAAACACAATTTATTCCCATTTTTGCTTAAACTGTGTTTAAAATAAAGAAAACAGACTGACAAACAGCGTAATTTTTTTTTAACAAACCGCCTAGTAACTCAGGTTACACATTTAAGTTTATTAACTTGAACAATTTGGTTTTTAATAAAATCTATTTAAGTACACCTAACTCAGATATACTTTCTTAACGCAACAGGTAAATAAAGATAATACCTGTTCATTCACACACACTTAAAAGGAAGGCCTACATATGTTGGTTGTGCTTTCCCTTTGCGGCACTTCACAGAATTACTAATTACATCAAATATTTGAAATATCAAATATATACTAAAAATACATAATTCTGGCTCCAGAAAAGAAAAACTCAGGTAAAGCATTTGTGGTTGGACACATGCAGTAATGAGTCAAGGTACTTTCCAACACAGAATTTCTAAATTAATCCAGCCCAAGTAGAATGACTTGGAGACTTTTCAACCACAAATTCCAGGTAATTTAATAAAAATGAGTGTTGATAATTTGTTGAAAACTGATTTAAGTCAGCTTATTATTATCAATTAAATACAATTTTGCATTTGCGGTGTAAGGTTGTAATTTATTTTTCCTGAATAACCAAAACCAGCTTGTTTTTACCCTAATCATCATTTGCACGTGACGTCAT